ATGGGGAGCTCAACTATCAGCCTGATTCGTTGATGTGTGCACCTGCCAGTTGATATATATATATTACGTGCCAACGTCTTCCGCATCGAGGTGGCTAAAAAGTTTGCGAAAGAAGCACTGGGAGCGTCTTGTGATGTGCTGGCGTGAATCGCGGACGCTATCGCCTCAGTTAGACTCTGCAGAATGCCAACTGTGGAGGCACAAGTGCCCCCTCACTATCCGACCCAGCGCCCACGTCTCGCCGGGAGGTCAAGAGACACCAAAAACAGCCCCGTGGTCACGTGCAGAAGAAATGATGTAGCCTTAAATGCGCAAAGAGACATCGTGTGGGTCTGGTGGGCTGCGCCGTGTCCTGGCGCAGTCGGTGGTGCCCGCCGTCGCTGCCCCCAGGGACCCCACCCCTCAATGGGCTGCCCCTTCGGCGGTTGGAGCGGGCTGAACATTGTTGCGCCAGCCCGAGATAAGGTATACATGCTGGGTGGGCGCCACCTCACGAACACATACGAAGCCGCGATGGCGTCACCAAGGCGCTGGCTCTGCAGACGACAAAAGAAACGCTGGCAACCCCGCGCGACGTGTGCGCTGAAGGGTCCGCCAAAGTGCCGTTGTGCGACGAGCGGTTGGGAACCATTTTAATTTTCCATGACGGCACAGCATAAAGCACGCCGACCCCTGACGCCGTAGGGGATTTTAGGGGGAGCCTGCAGCATCGTGTCGCAAATCCCCGGTGCCTCTGACAACGCCCTGGCGGCTGCTACTACGGTGTGTCATCCAGCGTGCTTTTCCCCTTCATTCTCTAGGATATGGAGAGCGTTATCGAATGGGGCGCCATTTGAGCAGCCACAACTGCCCACTGCATCTTCCAGCGGCTCGCAGTGAACCTGCGGTGGCGGTTTTTTTCTCTCGCTAGCAAAGCCCACCCGAGCACCCATACCCCTGGAACGCACGCCCACCTCTATAACTGACTTCCCATACCTGTTTTTAAAGTTCATTCGGATTGCCACCTGCCAGGCAATCCGAGTGCACTGCAACCGAGAGAGATTCTCACTTTCGGTGTTACCGCCGACCCGGAGGGTCTCGAATGGCCCTATTGTGCGGGTGTGCCGCGCTGGGTGGGCGGTGCGACGCATGAAGGCGACACATGTTACTAGAGAGATCCCTCCGCTCCAAGATCAATAAGCCAGCGGCCAGCGTTTCTGACAGCCAATCCATAAACGAGAGCAGAGCTCCGCTATCGCAGTGAATTCCGATAAAATGGGGTGGCGCACCTGGGTTGCTGGAAGCAGAGCACGCTTTGGCGGCTCCCGCGGTATACGCGGAATGCGCACCAGGCTACAACAGCAGTGCCACTGGAGAATCAATATGCCCCTTGCTGGCGCAGAACGGCAGAAAACATGGAAGGACACCTGCCGTCCAACCCGTGCGGAAAGGCATATGTTCGCGGGGCGCGCTCTGCAAATGCGCGGCCACAGCGCTCGGCCCCGTGCTGCCACCAAGCTCTTCTCCACCAAGGGCGCCCGCCCCAACCTAAGTGCGGCGTGCGGCGCACGGTTGGAATCATGCCCGGATTTGTTTATTCACGGGCAGTGGAAACACCCCGAAAAAACAAAGTATTGGTAGCTCCAAAAAAAGCCGCAGGCATATCCGTGCCAGGGCATCTGGGTCAGATATATGCTGCGCCCGTGCTGTCCCTTTGCCATTGCTGTTGGGCAGATACTAGATGTTCATACTGGCAGGGTTCGGGAGAAGGGCGGCCCCAGACACAAAAGCGACGCCGTAGTTTTGCAGCAGCCTCAGTAAGGAGGCGCTGGGGCATGCCCGGCGGCAATCGCCAGCTGGAGGGGTGCCCTTAGCTTTTTGTTTGGTCAGTTTATTTTGTTTTATTTTGGCCCCATACATATTTTTCACGGGCGCGTAGCATGAGCCCCAAAAACTACAAATTGCATTTGTTTTTGTTTCTTTTAACATTCCTTGCGGGGGCAGACAGCCCTATAAAAGCGGTCGGATTTTGTTTCCCTTCTTCGCGCGACGACGGGGAAGCTGCCTTCGTTAAAACCTCCCTGAAGGGAGGTTAAGCTACGCATTCTAATACTAAGCGGTAGCTATAAAAATGATGACAACAAAACCGCGCAGGCCCCCTGGGAGAAAATGGGCTGCCCCATCGTGACATCTTGGTTTGGGGCTTTCTTGCGGGAGAAGGCTATGAGCCCGCGGGCCCTTTGCCCAAGGCTCGAGCGTGGGCGTTTTCTTTTCTGAGGAAGAGTGAGGCGGCCACCTTTCTGGTCGCCCGCGAGCCTTTTGGCATCAAAAACATTCTGTCTGCATGAAATTCCACGATTATTATACCATTTTCACTACGCTTTTTTTTTGAGCGGTGTTGCTTTTAGCCGGCGGAAGCGCCAGGCTGTTGCAATGAAAAAAACAGCCCCTACTTGGGGAGTTCCGGCGGAGCCATGGGCGCCCGTAGGCCCGGACCGGCCGGGTTGCGTCCTGGCCGACGCGGCGTGCAAAAAACTTCAACACCCGCGAAAGAGCCAGCAGATGCGGGCGATCTGCGTGCCCCCGCGATCGGCGTTGCCGCGATCCTTCATTAAAGGGTGAGCGGCGGCGCGCCGGTATTTGCAGCGGCTTCTGCCCCTCCATCGCCCACCGGAGCGCACCTAGTGGGCCCGCAAGAGCATGTCCACGTTTCTTTTGCCCGCCCAACATGGCTGGGAAAGAGGCAGGTGTGTGAACCGTCTGCGGAACCCTCTTCGGTGAGGTTGGGTGTGGGTCGCGGATCCCTGGCGAGGCCGCGGGCCGCGTTTCCGTAGTGCCGGGGCCCAGCGCCCCGCGGAGTGTGAGCCGGTACGTGGCAGTTGGTGCCTTTTATTTGTTGTTTGTTAATTGTGGTGGGTGCTGGTCCCTGCGCGGCGCTGGGCTGAGGAGGCCCGGGGAATGTTTGCTAGTTTTCCCATGCCGCAGCCGCAGGTGCTGGCGGCAAGTGCGGCAATGGGCGGTGAACGCGTCTTGGCGAGGCGCCCTCGCGGCGGGCACGGGGAAGGGGCGGGTGGCGAAGTAGAGGCGCGGCTGCAGCGTAGAAGATTTGCCGAAGCCTTGGGGGGCACAGGCTTCCTCCTAGAGAGGTTCGCCATCGGGCGAAGCAGGTGTGGGGAATGTGCGGGGCGGGCCGCGACGGGGGGGCGAGCGCCGCGGTGCCTCCGGCTTCTTGGCTGGGCCCGGTGGGGTGCTCGTCCCGGTGTTTTTTTTTTCGCACAAAGGTGCCGTTGGGCCGATGGCCCACAGAGCTGGTGGCGTGAGCGGTGTGGGCGCTCCCCGAGCCCGCGGCCAAGAGCCTAACCAGAGAAAAGGAGCGGATAAAGTGTTTTGCCTTCTTTTGGGCATAACATGTGGCGATAATAGAAACCTTTGGACATAATAATAATAAAGCAAAATTTACGTGGGTACAAAACATACGCAAAATTACATTTGCACAGTAGGGGATACAAAAGACAACAGAAACAACAGAAAGAGTACTCTTTATAGTGAATATATTTTCTTACTCAAGCTTTGAGTAAAAAACAACTAACAAATGCTATTCTTTATCTACTGTATATGTATAATCCATTTAGGAGTTTTTCTATGTCCGAAGCCTTTTTTTCAGTGAGGAGTGGGCTAAAATGTGAATAAGTGAAATACTAGAATTGTATAATATTTCAAAGACGGAAAAAAAAGTGGGAGGCGTCTACATTCAGATATATTTGGTGGTACAAGGTCAAGACTAAATCGTAGGTAAAGCGTCGGTAGTGGATAAAAGGGAGTTGTACAAGTAGCCTGCTCTCACTTGCCCCATCGTTTTTTAAATTTACCTTTAACGATAAATAATAATAATGATTAAAGAATGCACTAGGAAGTAAAGATATGTGTTTGAAGAATCGGTAAAAAAAGATGGGTTTGATATGCGTGAAGTACGCTATTTGTGTTCCTTAAAACGTTGCTTTGTTCTGTGCTAAGAAGGTATTATTCATTTTTTTTTTGCTGCGAATCACAAATCGAACTTGAACATATGACCCTTTTCTTTGGAATGATACTGAGTACTGTTTTATCTTGGACTGAAAGGCAAGGGTATCTTTTAAGGTGTTGCTTTTCTTTGTTACTTGTCTTCTATATTTTATTTTACTTAAAGAAGAGTGCCGTTATTGAGACTTGGGTGAAGTTATGGTGTCGTTTTGGACTATTGCCGCATGCTGTCTGGGTGGTTACATTGTTGGAGCTGGATTACTGGTTCGTGTGTTTCCGCGTCGACCCAATATGGGGGCAGAACTTCTTAAAAAGCGTTTCCCTTACCCTGTAACGAAGATTGCTCATAGGGGTGGTTGCCTGATAGGCCCAGAGAATACCATTTATACATTTAAACGGGCAATAATTGTGGGAAATGCTGACATGTTAGAATTGGACGTTCACCAATCGAGAGATGGTGAAATTGTCGTTTCGCATGATGCTACTCTCTTACGGACTTGTGGGAGTTTTCATGAAGAGGTGAATGTGCACGATATTGTGGTGGGTGGGAATCCGAACATGACATTACCTCAATTACTGAGAGAGATTCCAATTCACTTTGAGTCCCCTCAAAGAGGAAGATATTATAAGGCTACAGACTCTGTTCCTGTGGATGAAACGACGCGTCTCTGCCTACTATCGGAGGTTTTTGATGCGTTTCCAGAGATTCCGCTTCACATAGATATCAAATCCGAAGGGGCGGACGTTACAAGGCGCGTACTGGAATTGATTGAGCGATACCGCAGGGGCAAGAAAACTGTAGTTGGGAGTAGTAATTGGCGTAATAGGACTTATATCTACAATTATTTTGTGTCAAAGAATTCTTCGGAAAGTAAGAAGCTTCAGGAAAAAAGAAATAGATTTCGGATTTTTGCGGGACCTTTGGATTATGCCATTGTTCACGTGGCCTATTTCCTCGGTCTGCTTCCTCTAGTCCCCTTGAAATTCGATGTGTTTTCCATTCCACTTTTTACTATACACAAGCGAAACGCACTTGACTCTTGTTTCATGCACTTTATTTCCTATTTTTTAAACTCACCTACACTGTGGAATCATTTGCAGCGACGAGGTATTCTTGTTTTGGGTTGGGTGCTGAATGACGATGATGAATTTGAAGAAGCTTCTAAGTGGACTATCAATGGCATTATGTCTGACGATCCTATCGCTTTAGATGCGTTTTTTAGGTCGAGAAATGTGCCAATAGCAATGAATCTTTTGCATTGATTCTTTGCTCTTATTGAAAGCGTTGTTTTGTTGTTGTTGATGGAAATAAAGTATAATTGTGAATTAATATTATTTTTTAATTTATGTTTTTAAATTGATGAAATAATGGAGGCAGACTCTGATTGGGTTTGAGTTCTGATTACACACATCCTGCGGTTGCCAATTTCCGTCCCTGTAAGTGATTCTGGATGAGCTTTTATTTAAGATTTCTAAAAAATCAAAAATCAAAAATGATTTTTTTTTTATTTTGAGGAAACTGTCTTTGATATACCATAGTACATTTAGACAAAATACATATATTGAAGGGATGCGCCGAATACTGTTTTTGTCAGCAGGGGCACTTTTCTCCTTGTCGTGTTTTACGTTTGCTGATGGTTTTATTGCTGCAAGGCGGATTGGACTTCCTTACAACTTTTTGATGTGGCTACCCGCAATTATGATTGTTACTGGTATGCTGATTTTCAGGATCACGGATGCAAAGGCAGTTATTGGTACGGATAATTTTCTTGATGACGTCAGAGTCCCACGTGAAAAAGTGCTTTTTTTCATTGGAGCATGTCTGACAGTTGGTGGTTTTGCGGTTTCTCTTTGGAAGGCGGTTGACCCATATTCTAACGCCAGCGAAGCCACGCCCGGCGTTCTTTTGGTAGCGCAAAGTGTTTTTCTGGCCCTTTGCTCTGGAATACTCTTTTCCGTCAGAGTGCTAACTGAGGATGATTGGTTTTGAAAGGATGTTATAGGTTTTGAAGATCTAGCTTTCTTGTAGTGGTACGTCTTACGTACTATTGCTTTTTATATTGGCATGTTGTGTAACAACACCGTTGTATTTTCTTAATTTTTTTTGTTTATTTATTATTATTATTTTTTCCTTTAAAACTCCATCTGCATTTGAAGAAAAAAATAATGTTTTTGTTCCTTCAATGTGTTCTATACATGTATATTTTCAAGGGTTAAAAATGACAGCTGAACCTTCCCTGGTCAATGCGGAGCGTCTTAGGGAACTACGTGGAGCTGTTCACACATTTCTACAAGAGTCAAGTGTTTATTCTAAAATTCGTGATATAGTGGACTCTTATGTCGCTGAAAATCCAGGTGACTCTTTAGATCCAACTTCTTCTGCAGATGTAATGAAGATCATTCGAGAAAAAGGAGTGGTTCAGGATCTATTAGATCGGCTACACGGCGAGAAATATTTGAGTGACGCGCGGACTTCAAATGCAGCCCATGCGTGGAATTTTATCCCAGGCGAATATTATCTTCATCTTCGACTGGCCGGTGGAAAAGCATTTGTTGAAAACTTAGACCTTACCCCAAGTTTCGCTAAAGACTATTTGATGTATGTGGCAGTACACTTTGGATCCCAACGATATCGATCTACGTCGGAGAAAGTATCTGTGGACCCTCCTTTTAGGGACGAATTTCTTATAGATCTTGATTACAAATCGTTTGGTTCCTGTGCCGCCGATTTGATAGAGATTTCAACTCCTCTTCATATAGCTGTTTTTAGAGAGGAACGCCTTTTAACGCATGCCAAGATGCTTGGCGAAAATGTTGTTGACTGGAGAAGAGTTTTGCGCACAGGTTACCTTGGTTTAACAGTTGAACTTTGTGGAGATAACCCGGGTATTCCTGCTGGTATATTAGAGTTGCAGCTGGAGCTATTGCCTAATAAGGCCCCTCGGTTCTCAGAAGAAAATGTTGCGTCTAGAATAGATTTACAGAGAACTGCTATTACTTCGGCTGATCGTGAATTTCTTTTGTACGCACGTCGTTGGTGGATGGAGTTTCAAGAGATTCGACCTATTCACAAACAACGAAAAGTAAAGGTCTTTGCCTCTACTTCCAATGGAAGAATGGTACCAACAACTCATTTTGTCTCTGTACTTCGTCCGGAGAAGGGAATTGACACCCCTTTTGAAGCAGCAAGGTTTGTTTCTCTTATCACCGTAACAGACGAGGATGAGTTAACCCAAGAAGTTCTTCTTGGTGGTCTAGGAAATAGTAGTCCAACAAATTGTTGGCTTTCAATGTTTACTTTTCTATCTCAAAGGCGAGGTGAACCTTGTAATCACGCGGCACTTCTCTGCTCCTTATTACTTGGATTTGGATTAGACGCTTACTGTGCTGTTGGAACGAATAAAAAAGGCAAGACAACGATGCTTGTGGTGTCTCGTAAGCGTCTCAGTGCTGGTGTTTTTGACGTGATGCTTTGGGAACCCACAACCGGAAATCGCTTTACATTGACGGACGCGCATCAATTGGAAACTCTGGGTTCTGTGTTCAATCACCGGTCTTTTTACGCAAATATCCAGCCTTCAGATGTTGTTACTACAATTTCTTTTGATTTTGACAATGAGGAGTTATGGAAACAGTTAAACTCTCTAAAGCTTCGTATGGTTCCTAAATATCCCAATCCTTCGCTCCTATGGATTCCAACTGACCCAAAAGCGCTTGAAGAAGAACTTTTAACGTCATTATTAAAGGAGTTGACGGAATATCGTGATATACGCGGGGTTATTACACGTTTTGACGAGACTCTTGCCTATGTACTCCGGCAAGTTCTTTGCGCCTATGAGGGTCATCGACGCAATGGTGCTCCAGAAGATTTGTCACTTTTTGAAAATTGCGTAAAGGGTGTCATTGGGGAGGGGAAAACATTTAAAGGTGTCCCAGTGAATGTAACACATTTGAACAGCCGTAAGATACTTGCAGCTTTTGAAGGTAGTCCTTCTGGAAAGGATATTCTAGAGTTAACAGCTGATAGTCTTAATTTAGCTGTTCAGGTGAAAATATATTCTTTTCCTGAAGGTGTACTCTCTGTTTGGGTGATATTGGCCGCAGCTTATGCGTCTTCTCCTTCTGCTTGAGCAAGCGACGCTGAATGGTGCTGCAACGAATGGAACAAAATTTCACCCGTTGACGTTTATTTGTTTATATATATATATATATAATAGAGAAATACTCTGTTTTTGTTTCTTTATGGATACAACCAGATGATTGCGTTGCGGTTCCATATTGCGCCAGTAGCCATATGGAAAAAATAGAAACTGAAAATCAAAGACACAAATTAAAAAGGAAACAAAACCAATGATAAAGAGAAGTTTTAAATACGCAAATTACATGTTCTGTTTGATTGATTTTTTATGCGCCTCCTCACCCCCCTTTTTTTTCTTTGTTTCTGCCTGCAATTGCCATAATTCTTAATTTACCAACTCTCTCTTTCACACACATACAAATACAAGAGAGCTACAAATCTGAGAGGTGTGCGTATTGAAATATGAGACCTCTAAGGTACGTTAGAATAATCTATTCCACCTCGAAATGGCCCTGGAGTTGTGTGCCACTTGGTTACGCCAGACACTTTGTGTCTAGCACACCTATGCATTTTGTGGCACAACCTCTCTCATTTTCAAATACTTATGATCATTCAGATGACTGGGATCCATTTGCAACTGCTTCTGTTTTGCGGAAGGACAACACACCCTCCCTCAATAACACGGAATCAGTCAAAATTCAAAACTTTTTCCCTGCGGAAAGCTCGGAGGCTATACCTGACGTAGTTGCACCGGATGTTTCTGTGATTGATGCATGTGGAACTAAAGTTCATATAACACCTATTCAGTGTTTTTCCGAAATTACGAATACTCCGGATTGGTTAAGCAAAGGGCTTAATGAACTGAGTTACCCAAGGGTGACCCCCATTCAAGGTCACACGATTCCAATCCTTGATAAAGGACATGATCTTATAGGCTTGGCTCCAACTGGATCAGGTAAAACGATAGCCTTTGCAGTCCCAGCATTGAAGCACTTTAAGCCTAGTCCAGATGGATTACCAACGATATTGGTTCTCGCTCCGACCAGGGAACTTGTGCAACAAACGGCAAAGGTGTTTTCTCAATTGGGTTCTGGGGCCATTCGTGTTTGTGAGGCTTATGGGGGAGCCCCACGAGAAGTACAGGCTCGACGGTTACACGATGGATGCGACGTGCTTATAGCGTGCCCGGGCCGCTTAAAGGACTTTTTGAGGAATGGAGGTGTAACGCTTGATCATATGTCTTTTTTGGTTTTTGACGAGGCAGATCGTCTGCTTGACATGGGTTTCAAGATTCAGCTCGATGAGATACTCAGTTATGCTGATCCATCGCGTCCTCTTCAGACAATGATGTGGTCGGCAACGTGGCCAAAAGGGGTGGAACAATTGGCACGTGACTACCTTTCAGAGAAGCGATACACCATCAGAGCAGGCACAGCTGATGTGGGTCTGCAGATAAATAAAAACATTAAGCAGCACATGCTATTTGCTGATCATCCGCATGAGCGGATGGAGGCTCTTGTTTCACTCATTCAAAGTGGAACCATTGACGAAAATACGGCAAAGATGATGATTTTTGTGGAACGTCAAACTGACACAGAAAGTGCGGCTCATCTGCTTGCAAAAATGCTAGGTATACATATCAGAAACGTTGGTATACTTCACGGTGGGATGCAGCAACGACAACGCGACTACATCATGAGTAGGTTTAAGCATAGTGAGACGCGTATACTTGTGGCGACAGACGTTGCATCGCGTGGGATTGATTTCCCTGACGTTACATGTGTCGTTAACTTTATTGCGCCTAAGGGCATTGACAGCTATTGTCATCGCATAGGGCGTACAGGAAGAGCTGGTCGCACTGGAGATTCCTTCACATTTATTGGTCACTCTGATGGATCTTTAGCGAAAGATCTTGTGGGATACTTGAAGAAGTGTGGAATGGAGGTTCCGCAACGACTTATAGACATTGCTGAGAAGTACATCCAATACGAAGAGCAGCGCAATTCAAGGCGTTCGTGGAATGGAAGATATGGACGAGGACACAAACGCCCGAAGTGGGAGAACCGCGCGACTTCTGAGGATAGTGGCTGGTAATCCGTAAGTGTGTGAAACAAAAAGGGAGGAAATAGTTTTTTTTTCTTTTTGACAGCCTTCGTTTGAAATTACCTTTTTCATGCCTCTGTGTGTCTATGCGTTTTCGTTACAAATTTATAACGGTGTGGCGGCGGTAAGGTTACTCTGGGTTTATTTGGGAATCACTATAGCTCCTTGAGTGTTGCTCACTCTGTAAACGTATTTGCAGTTGCTTCATGACAGTAGGCAGGTCAGCGGGTCTGTGTATGGACAGGTTCAGTCAGTAGCGCGAAGAGGGAGGAGGGGGAAGAGGAAATAAAAGGAAACAAGGAAAAGAAGTAATTTATCTACATTTATTTCCGCAGAAAAGTGACATGACCGTTGAAAAACCAACCATACTTTGCGCGGAATAAAACAAGCAAAAAAATTTGCACTTGTTTCTGATATATATATATATATATCTTTACTCTTTTTTTTTCTTCTATGGGTGTCTGTCTAACGATTGATTACCCTGGGAAGGCTTGCCTTCTTGGGTTAACTTGGTGAGAAAGAAGGGGACTTTGCCGTCCGTGATATGGCGAAGATTATCAGTGCATCGGAGTTGGAAATAGCTGCGGACGCATTGGCGCGTGGAAATTTGGTGGCTTTTCCAACGGAAACGGTGTATGGTTTGGGTGGCAACGCTCTTAATGAAGAAGCAGTGAATAAGATTTTTGCGGCGAAGGGGCGTCCGTTGACCGATCCCTTGATTTGCCACGTGCTAGATGTTGACAAGGCGGTGGCGATGTGGGATGTGCATGCAGATCCAGAGGCTGTGGAATTGGCCAGGGTGTTGGGGACGGCAATTTGGCCGGGACCTTTAACCATTGTGCTGAAGGCAAAACCCTCACTTCCGCATTCGGTAACAGGCGGCTCGGGATTTGTAGGTGCGAGAATTCCACGCCACCCGGTGGCCTTAAAGCTGCTGCAGCTCGTGGATTTTCCTTTGGCGGGTCCCAGTGCGAACACATTTGGTCACGTTAGCCCCACAACAGCTGCTCATGTGCTTCAGGACTTGGGACCGAAAGATCCCTCGTTGTTGATTATTGACGGTGGACAGTGTGATATTGGGATTGAATCTACCGTGGTTAAGGTGAACAGCGTGGAGAGTGTTGAGATTCTTCGCCGAGGGGGAGTTTCACTCACGGATGTGCAACGCGTGCTTGGCGATAAGTTTCACCCCTTCATTACAATTCGCGACACGCGCGCGCGTCACGGCAACCCCGAAACGGCGATGGATGGGCCTGGGCAGCTACTCACGCATTACTCACCTAACGTACAGTCAAGGCTGCTCACGCCCAGTAGTTTCACCACCAATGCGCCTGCGCCATCAGAGCGGCTTATTGTGGAGTTTTCTTCAAATGCTCCTGGAACCGCATTGACGGAGGTTTCGTTACGAGATGCGGTAATCATTGACTTTGGGGCCCATCTCCAGTCCCTCCAGGCAGGCTGCCTGGCGTATCGCGATCTCAGCGCAACGGCGCAGGTTCGAGAGGCGTGTTTTGCCGTATTTGATGCGCTGCGATGGACGGAAACCATTCCTGGGGCGAGGGTTGTGCTCTTTCCCCTCGTGTCGGAATGGCCACACCCTTCCGTGGACGCCGAGCTCTTAGACGCCGTGGAGGACCGCCTGTTTCGCGCCGCCTCTGGTCAGGTTGCACGCATTTGTGTGCAGTGAAAGACAGCGCCGAAGGTTTACACTCATACAAACACGTATGACGTGAAAATCCGAATTTGTTTCCTGCACTCTTTTTTTGTGTGTTTTTTTTTCTGCAAGTATATTTCTACGTGTGTAGTGGGAAGGGGAAAGAAGAGCTTGATACAGCTCGCGTAGGCATGCACGCTCTGGGGGCAGCGATCCCCTGCCCGCTGAGCTGAGAACTGAGTAGTGGAAGCGGGAACAAAGCAAACATTACTGCAAACGGGGGGAAAAAAGGAAGGAATAAGCAACAACCATAATAAACTAAATGAAATTGTCACTAGTTTTTTGTTTGTCTCTGTTTCTTCTCTCTATTTTCCCCTCCTGTATGTGAGCGCGTAAGCGTGAGTGGGTGGTTGCTTCATTACTCCTTTTTGGTTCCTTTCCCTTGGGCTTTTTCCCCCTTCCCTGATATTTACTTCCTTCTTTTTCTTTTCCAACCTCCTGCATATATATATATATATATAGTACGCTGTAGCTGTCTTTGTTTTGTGCTTGTTTTTTTTCTTTAGGAGTATGGCTTTTCACCCCAGGGACGCCTTTATTCTGCACCAGGAGCAAATACAGAGGCACAATGAGGGCGACGAGGTGGACACTTCCGCGGAGCAGAAAGTGCAGATAGAGCTTCAGCGACTCACAGATGCAGAGTCCTCGGTAACAATCGCTTTCTCTCACGAGGATCACACCTTGGGGAACGCGCTGCGACACGTGCTCATGCAAAACCGTGAGGTCACAAGTGCAGGCTACTCTATTCCTCACCCACTGGAGGCAAAAATGCTTCTACATGTTCAGTCCACGGATTACGCCGTGGAGGTGGTTGCGGAGGGACTTGAACGCCTGGCTTCCATATGTACCCAGACTCTGCAGAACTTTGAGGATTGCATGCATGAGATGAGGTGTGAAAGAGTCAAAGAAGAGTATTAGGCGATGTCAGAAGGATGTGTGTATTCTTTGTCACGTTTCTGTTTTTATCTCTACGTGTGTGTGTGTGTGTGTTCCTGCTTCTCTTACGGTATAAGCGGCGTTATTAGCCGTCTTTTTTTTTGTACACTCAGGCATATCCATATGTGTGTATATGATGCGTTGTCTGCGTGTGGCTTGTGACTAACGTGGGATGCATTGCGTGCTTTCATCGTCGTCCGAAGGAGGGTCACACTAATTCCGTGTAATAATACATCCTTAATGAATGCACAAGTGCACCACGAGCCGACGGTGTTGACTGTCTTTTTTCTGACAGGTGCGTATCCGTCTGTCTGTCTGTCTCTGTGTGTATGTGTGGCTGCAGGAAGGGACCCGTAAAGACATGCGTGCTTCTTCCCTTTGTGCACACGGTCACACACACACACACACACACACATCCCTTTACTGCTACCGTGGATGGCAATTATTGATGCCAATACCCACCACCGTGACAGTACCATAACCCAAGGATAAGAAAAAACGAAGACACTGCGAGCAGCGGACATGTCCGATACTCTCGCGGAGCCCAAGACGTCGGTGATTGTGAATGAGCGAAAACGCATCACCTCCAAATTCGTTGACGGTAGCGAGATGGTGGAGGAGTTTGACGTCATCACCGACGACCTGCTGCTTCGGAAGCGCCGGGTAAAGACAGCGCTTGGGAACTTTGGTGACTGGCAGGTGGAGGTGGGAAACGAACTGCGGGTGCGCAGCTTGGAGAAGGAGCTGTTGGTTGAGGCAAACGGCAGCCCAGAACTCGTGCGGCAGGACACCCCCGAGTACCACGTGTTCCGTATTCGAAATTTGCCCTACGCACGGGAGGTGTTTAGCGTGGCGGTGGAGCATCGCGAGCCTGGAGACGCCGGGGAGATTGTTGTGCGCACTAGCAACAAGAAGTACTTCAAGCGATTGACCATCCTGGACCTGCAGCGGCGCCACATTCAACTTGATCCCACCCACCTTTCCTACGAGGTACAGCATAACACATTGATTGTTCGCTACAAAAAGCCCCTCGCAATCTTGGTGGCGGACGCTGCGGCCAAAAAGGAAAGGGCCGCTCTACCAGCGCGACGCATAGATGGCGCGGAAGGCGCTGGTGGTGGTGGATGTGCTCAGCAGTGAGGGCTAGAAGAGGCGGCTGATGCAGTTGCGGTGTGGGAGTGGGGAAAAGGTTCTGTTCACCGCGTCTTGTACTAACCCATGCTTTCAGTACGTGTTGTTGGACGGTGCTTCCGCCGCAGCGCATCATTGGTGTCCTTTTCTTCCCTTTCTTTCGTCACCCACTGAGGTGGGTTTGCTGGTGGTGTCGCCTTACCCTTTACATGTCAGAGATAGCAGCAGGTATGTGTTCCTTCATTTTTTCTCTGCACGTGTTTGCCACCTTGCACAGGCTCCATCCTATTGACAAGGCGGGGTCAAAGGAGCAGCAGCACCTGAGACGTAACAGGAAGAATAAAAATATGCTCTGCAACGCAGTACTGTTTCCCCCATCTTTTTTTTTTTGCTTTTGTGGGTTGTCAAATTGTACAAGGAAACTTATCGTGGTGGGGGGGGGGGGGGTTGCAGGAGGAAAAAAGGAGGGAACCGTTAGGGAAGCGACGAGGATACGCCCTGTTGGTGGTTTTGCCGGTAGTGGTGAAAGTGGGGGTGCCTATTCGTTGCGGCGCTGTTAATTGTGGAGAAGGACCCATACTCGCAAGCAGCCCAGGTGTGTTCGGTGGCGATGCTTCGGCAGATGACTCCGTGGCTTGTGCGGGACCCAGTGCCGACGGACACCAAGGCTTTTTACTCCTGGTTCAGTGGGCAGGCGTACCGTCAGGAACGTGTGATACCCGGCGGCTACCCTGCTGTGCGGGTGTAGCCGGTGTACAGCAAACGGTGGTTTATGGGCCACACGGTGATGGCGATGATCGCCGGATTATCGCCATTTGGGGCCTGGTTTCGGCCTGAGAAGGAACGATACAACATGGAGATGATGATTGAGTGGTCGGAGCGGCAAGCCGCGCACCTGCCGTATCAAAAGGCGGAGGTTAAACTGTGGTACCTCATAACTAGCTACAAACGACACCGCTACGAACAAGAAAATCTTATTGACAGGTTTTGTGGGCCTGACCTCGGAGTTCCGCAAGTTTTTTTTTACCACGACGACGTGTGGCGTCCGCTGTTGCACGATGCGCTTATGCACCTGTACGCGAAATTTGGTGGCCCCTTGTTCAGATATAACTGGACGATTGGGTACTTTTAGGAGAGGCGGCATGTGGTACAGGCCTGTGCGTGGGTTCCAGGCGATGCTGCGGAAACGGGGCAGTGGGACTAGTAGCAGGAGTGGGAATGGGGTTTTTATAGTATGGGTGGTGCGGGGGTGCTGATGTAATTTGAGTCGTCGGGCTCACGGCTGTGCCGCCTGCGTGCATGCGTGGCAGTGAGACAAGTCTCGGTGTGGATTCAAGTGCGCTGACACCGACAGACGAGATATTATGAGGCGCAGTGGGAAAAGGCAGTGTGTGTGTGGGTGTGTGTGTGTACAACGCACACAGTGTTTTGTTCTGCCCCACATGTACAGCAAATTGGGGTTTGGCAGGCCGATGTGGTTTGCGGTAGCAGAAATAGTATGAAGTAGAAACAAGGAGCCATCAGTGATAGTGTGAAGTATAACGGTGCGAAGAAGCAGCAGTAATAGAAATAGTACAAAAGCACAGAGCTCCCACATCCCACCTTTTTCTGTGCTTGTTTCCTTTTTTCCCCCTTTTTTCTGCCTTTTTCTTTACCCGACGTGCATGCGTAGCATCCTTTTCCCTTCTTCCATATGTATATTTGCCTGGGCCTCTGCCCCTAAACGCATCGGACATGATCCTCTCCACAGTGCATATAAAATAGATAGCGAGCCGCTAGCGATGGAGGTGGATGCTGATCTTGGTTCCGTATCGGCTGCATTTCGCGGCACCGAGGAGTACGCCGCTGCGTTTGACTTGGAGGTGTGGAAGGCGCAGCAGCAGGCGCGACTGCGAAGTGAGTTGAACGAGGAGAAGACACGGCTGCGGAGGGAATTGGCTGCGGAGGTGCGAAAAAAGGAGGAGGAGCGTCTAGGCGAGTTGGATGCATTCCGCCAGGACCTGGAGCAGGTGGCACGACGGCTGCAGCTGCGGGAGGAAACGCTGCAGAAGCGCATCTTACAGTTCGAGACGCGTGAGGCGGTGTTTGAAGCGCGGCGGGTGAAGGTTGCGGAACAGCACGAACAACACCTGCTCTCGGTTGAGGACCGCACACGCCGGCAGCTGGAGGAGGCCGTGGTGCGTGAGGGTCTGCTCCAGGCACAACTGCGGGAGCGTGAGGGCATCGTCGCCCGCCTCGAGGAGAAGCTTCGGGCGGCGGAGAGCGAGCACGACACAATGCAACGATGCCTGGCTCGCACCGTCGCGGAAGACAGGGACAAGATGCAGGTGATGCGGTTGGAAGAAACGTCGGCCGCAGCCAATGCGGCGGTGACTATGCTGCAGCTAAAGTTAAAAGAGCGCGAGACGGAATTAGCGTTGACACGGAAGGAGCGCGACCAGTTCCAGGAGGCGGCAAAACAGTGTCGGAGCGAGTTGTGTCAACTCACCCGCCGTTACAGTGAACTACAGCAGCGGTGGCACCAGCGCGAGCGGACGCTGCTGGATGACGAGCACCGACGGCTGGAGGAAACCAAGCGGCAGCATCAGCTTCTCGCACTTCAGACCGGGAGCAGGGCAAGAAGCATTCATCGCTGCGACCTGCTCGGTCTTCAGGCTGCTGAAGGTATTGTTTCGAAGGCAGTTAAAGACGAGCTTGCCACTCGCGGCAATCCCGCTGCTGACCCCAGTGCATTCCTCAAGGAGCTACAAGCTGAGGTAGCGCAGGGTCTACGTGAGCTTCGGACCAGAGAAAAAAAGAAGGGAAGGAAGGCGAAGGCGAGCGGCGCCACCTCCGCGGGGCCAGGCGTAATCTACGCCGAGGTGTCACCACCACGCCAGGGGGTGCGTCCCTCATACGTACGAAGGAGTGATGGGGTTGCTGTTAGAGAAGAGGCTGCGGAACCGGGGCGGCACCGGCCGCATGAGGTCTTGCAGCTGCCAGCGACCCGTGATGACGCTGCTAACTCAACGCTTTCGTCTCTGACGCAACGCGGGAGTGAGGGGCAGCGAGAGTCGACGGAGCCGTACCACAGTCCGCTAGAGGATAAGCCCCAAGTAAGCGGGATGGAGGAGGAGGAGGCCGACGTTGATGTTTCCTCGTCTTACTGCTACGCAGACGTGGAGTCGTGGATTGCGGAAAGGGAAGAGCTTCGTGACATGCCGAAATATGAGGTGGTAAAAGATGTGGCGCGGAGTTCGTTGCCTCCTCTCCCATCCACCGCGGCCGCATCGCCGCAGCCCACTCCGCCGTTGCCGGAGGATTTTCTTCAGGCGTCGCGGGCGACCCTTCCGTCTGCCTCACAGGCATCTACCCGGGAAGAAATGGCGGCGTTCGTCAATAAGCTGCGTGTGAACAAGCAGCGGCTGATTGAGTCGGGCGTGTACACGGAGGATGACACCCTTTTGAGGGAGATGACCGACAAAATCGCACTATACGAAGATTTCTTGCTGCGGCATTTCTGAGTTCGCGTCCCCTCCTTCCACGTTGCTCATATTGGCGACCAGCCTCTCCTCGTTTCCTCTTCAAGTGTCATCTGCTTTTCCGCCCGTCTCCCTGATGCATCGTTTCTGCTGATTTTTTCCATAGACCATGGACTGCGGGTTATAAGCGAACACGCTGCCAATGCGTCAGTTTTCGTTTTGTTTTTGGTGTTGTGTTGAACCTTGCTGACGACGGTGACGTGACAATAATGTTGTAATGATGCCTGTGGTGCTGCCAAATTCTTTTTTTTTTGTTCGTGTGTGTGTGTGTATGCCTGTCTAACCCGCATTTTTTTTTTTTTGCGTTGTTGCCGGAGTGTGTGCGTGTCTGTTAGTTATTAGTGTTAATACCTGCGCTGGGCGGTGGCTTCCAATGGATCTCCGTGTACCGCTATCCTGCGTCCTCGGCGCTCCTCTCGCTCAGCGCCACGCGGTCCCGCACCGCACACTCCTTCTGGACGCCACCCACCAGTTCGTCCAGTACCTCACCTCCAATGACACGCGCCTTCCGCAGCACCCCACTTTGGCGGTGGAGGCACGGCCAGCGGAGGAGTACGAGACGTACGTCGGGGAGGATGTCTGGCAGCAACAGGAGGGCACCGCCTCCTACAGCTCTGACCCCGCGCCTTGCTTTGACGATGTGGTTCAGTGGGTAACGGACACTCTGCATGAGGTTGGCGGCCACGGCGACGGGGTGGTGCTTTGCGGGCGGAGCGTCGTTGCCGATGATTGCGGTTGGGCGGTGTTTTCGCGAACCCCGACGCTGCTCTCCTCCCGGGACGTATTCATTGCGATGCGCAATTCGTCCAAGTTTATGCGGGACGTGCACCACCAGCTCCGGAGAGGCGCGTCCGCGGCGTCGGGGCCTTTGAAGGTGGAGGTGACGTTGGCAAAGGCGTTGGGCAGGAATCAGGCACTGGAGTTCCGCGCTTTTCTTCCGTACCGTCTGCACACATCCGCCGGGGAGGTCCGTGCTGAGGCGTGGGAGGACCATATGTACGCTGGAATCAGTCAGCGGGCGACGGATGTGTGCTTTCCCATCTTGATGGCGTGGGACGAGGCCACGCATGACGAGAATTATCGCACCGTGATGCGACACATTAGGCACGCCAGGCTGTTGGAGCGGGCCCTTGAGAACAGCGCACGACTGCGCATGACGCTTCTTCGGCAGGTGGCTAACATCTCTCCTGCCGTCGGAGTTCCAAGCACGGAGTCGGCGGTTGTACTGCTAGCGGTGGATCTACTGTTTGAGAGTCCATCGTTGCCGGTGTATTTGCTGAGCGCTGCAGTGCGATGCTTTTCCCACGACGGCGCCAAGGACCCGGCGTGCGCCTTTCCATTCATCCTCGACAACGAAGCGGCGGGTGGCACATGGGAGGAAAATAACACACGCTCTACCAACACCGTTGCGGACGCGGACGCCGAGTCTGGTGGTGGTGGGAGTGACGAGAGTGACGACGACGAGGAGGTATCGTGGGACTCCGCCAGCTTTTTTCGCCTGTTTCGCGACGTCGCCAACTGGAACCGTCACGTGGAGGTGTGGCGCCAACGCGGCGATGCAGCAGCTGCCGGGGGGCACGCCTACACTTCGGGGACTCAAAAGGAGCAGCGTTTTTTTGTCGTCGCCTCCGAGCGTGATGATCTCGTGACGACGAAGGAGTCTCTGGCGAAGCGTGGGCTTCCGTTGGAGTTCCTGCGCCCGGACCTTTTTAAAGGCGATGATAATTTCATGCGAGAGTGGCGCGAGAAACTGATGCAGAGCCTGACCATGGCGCAGCAGTGCCGGGGAAGCTGAGCGGAGGCTATAAACATATCTATCTCTACATAATTCAGTATAGTGTTAACATATGCTTTTTCGTTTTTTTCTGCCTGCGCGCATTGAGCCCTGTTGCCTTCACCCGAGCCTCCTTTGCAGCCTTTGTTATTTACGGTGACTGTGTGGGCCTGCCACACCCTTTTTTTTTTCTCTGCTTTTCTGCGTGTACGCTTTTGTGTGCGCGCCGCAACAACAGCAGTAGCAGCCAAGGATCGAGTAAAAGAAGAGGTCCTTTCCCCCCTCGCACTGTGGCTGTTAGTTTGGCTTTGACTTGCTGCTTGTGCTCCCCAGGGCTTGGCAGCGGCGCGGTGTTTGACGTCAGTGCAGGACTCTACACATTCCCCCCGTCCTGCCTTGACTCCGCTCTTGCCGTTCGTGCGTGCGGACCACGCGCCTTGCAACGACACGCGCTGGCGAAACGGGAGAATACCTCCGCCACCGCGCCGCCTTCACGCCGAGCCAAGACAACGGCGTAGCACAGGACAGGGTATATCAAGTGCTCTCCGGCCACGATGTCGATGGGGAAAACCCTTGGCGACCACCGCTACAGGATTGGCTGCCCGATCGCCAAGGGTGCGTTCAGTACGGTGTACCGCTGCGTTGACCTGGCCACCGGCAAGGCGTACGCCGTGAAGGTGGTGAATCGCGCACTGGTGGAGACAAACAAGATGCAGGAGGCCGTTGTGCGGGAGATCAACGCGATGGAGGTGGTGACACCCTCGCGGTATTTGGTGAACCTTGTGGACAAGCTGGTGTCGGCGCGGAACTACTACCTCATCATGGACCTCGTGGAGGGGGGGACGCTGGTTGATTGCATCCGCAACGCCCCCTCCGGCTTGTCCCTGCAGTGGTGTTGTCGGATCTTTAGGCAGCTGCTCAACGGGCTCAGCCTGCTCCATCGCTGCAACATCGTCCACCGCGACATCAAACCGGAAAATTTGCTTCTGAACGCGGAACACACACAGTTGATGATATCCGATTTTGGGTTCGCGTGCTACGCGCCTTCGGGGCGCCTGCTTCGCCGGGCCTGCGGGACGCCAAACTACTGCGCCCCTGAGTTACTGCAGCAAGACCCCCACTACGATGGTCGCAAGGTTGACGTGTGGGCGGCAGGTGTCACGCTGTACGTCATGCTTTTTAATAAATACCCTTTCCAGGGCAGTGAAGGTTGTCCCGACGCGCTGCTGCAGGCAGTCACAGCGGGAAGGTACACCTTTCCCCGCCCAGTCCCACCTGGTCTGGAACACCTTTTTTCCGTGATGCTCCAGCCGCAGCCCGCCAAACGATGGTCGGTAAGTAAATTACTGCGGCATACATGGGTGCTGGGGATCACACCCATCGTCACGCGGGTGCCTTCCCACACCAACGCTGTGGTGAAGGATATGGGTTCCGTCAACGATGAGTGTGGGCCACCTTTCGATGCGTTTCTTTTGCGGTCCCAATTCGCGCAGGCATTGGAGGACGATGACTTGTGTGCATCTTCGCGCCGGTCACGCTCCTGCCCGCCGCTGCTGCTGCAAAGACCCGATGGGGACCTGGTGTTCAGCCCCACGGGCCTCGATGATGACGTGAACGCCGGATCGCTTCCAGCGATGCACCGCAATGATAGTAGGAGAGGTCCAAAAATGGGTTATTTCAGTAGCAACAGGGGCAATGACGGCAGTGGGGATGGGGAAAAGTGTTCGGGCGTCGTAGAAGTAGTAGGAAGAGTGGGGGGAACCACTCCTATGGATCCCGACTCTGTTTACAGCTACTGTAACAGCGAGAGCAGCTTCCACAGCAACAGCCTGCATGGCAACTCGTTTCTGCTAAACAGCAGCACTGCGACGATAACGTCGCCGTCAACTTATTCCAAAGCAGCTTGTGCGGAGGCACCGGTTTCTTACATGCACGATCTTGTACTTACATTGAAGGCCATTGCCAATTTCTTTTTATTCTGCACAGCGCTTTTTGTTATTGGCGGAATGCGCTTATTGCTGGACGTGGACTTCAACGATCTTCCACTTCCGCTTTTTTTTCGCAACGCGGTGGAGCGTCTGTTGACACCACTCGATGGTGGGAGCTCGCAGTACGTGGAGCCGCAACGCCACCACCAAACGCGTGGTGAGCGACTGCGAGAAATAGTTGCTTCAGCGGGGAGGGCGATCAGCAGGTTCATCCCACGACGCCGGGTGGCACTGACATGAGCGGCGACCGACGGTGTACAGGTCCATAGCCATTCTCATCGCCCCTGCATAGCATAATATCGAACGCCGAGGCATTCCCGCATCTTGAATGCACTCCCCCTGCAGCGCGGTTTAGGTGGTGTAATTTGCGGCGGTCACTGCAACAGTTCAACAATTGCGGCGAGGTGCGTGCGTGCGTGCGTGTTGGCTGCGGCACCTCCCGGATGTGTGTTCCGCGGCTGGGCTTCTGTTGGGTTGCCTGTTACATTTTCACGTACTCGCCAAGCAAAATAAGACGATGACGTCAAACCCATTTCTGTTTTTTTGCCACTTTTTTTTTTGTTTCCTGTGCGTGTTGGTGTCCCTCTCGTAATCACATTTTCTAGTGCCCGCATACTTTGTTTGCTACGGCGGGCCCCAGCACACCCACACGCAGAGGGGATAAAATCAATGGTGGTGGTGGGTAACGCCCCTTCTGCTGTGCTGCCCCTGTGAGGGGCGACTCTTGTGTCTGCTTCTGCAGTCTTCGGGCTCTCGTGTGGAGCGACGGGCGGACTGCCGTTTGGTGGTGATACTGCTCTCTATGCTCTTCTCTCAGTGTGTGTTTTTTTTTTCTATTGATCCTAAGTTTTTCTAGTTTGCCCTTCTTTTTGGCTTTGCCCCTTTGCGTCTTCGTTATTCCCCCACTGTCCTTTTTCTTCCTGCAAAGTCAAGCTTTGCGCACTTTGGGGCCGCGTCTTGTTGCTGTTGTTGTTTTGTTTTTCTGCTCCTGCAACCATCACGTGCATTGGAGTAGTAAACGTAGTGAAAACCATAACAGTCGGACACACACAGAGATATATATATATATATACGCATGGCTCCAGTTCAATCAGATGCGGCGGCGGTTTACGTGGAGGCGTGCAACCGCGAGCACGCAGAGTGTGCACTGGAGCTGGTGGAGGCCTTTGAAAACAACGACAAGGAGGCAAATTTGTCTGACCGATCTGTGCAGCTGAATGACGTGGACGTGGGCTGCATCGCAGAAGCCCTTCTCTCCACTCCCCACTCCATACGTGTGTTGAATCTGGAGGGGAACGCCTTTGGCCTGGCTGGCCTGCAGAGACTCTTGGAGGCCGTTGAGAAGAACCCCGGCACCATCCGCGAGCTGCGGATCGGCAGGAACAAGCTAAAGGACCAGGCGGCGGTGGTTATTGGACACACGCTCTCGCGCGACGGCTGTGGGCTGAAGGTGCTGGACCTCTCTGAGAACGAGATCACCAAGCTGGGTGTCATTCCCATCGCCGCCGCGCTTGGAAATGCCTCCTGTGACATCGTGGAGCTCTCCTTTCACAACAACAAGATTGAGGCAGACGCCGCCACGTACTTAGGGCAGGCCATCCGTCATGCAGGGAAGCTGCGGCACCTGCACCTCGGCTACAATACGATCCGAGACACCGGGGCCGCTCAGCTAGCACAGTGCATCCCCCTGACAGTCACACTTTCCACTCTTGACCTCACCGCCAATCGCATTGGTCCCAGCGGTGGAAAGGAGCTTGCCCGGGCTTTGATGACGAGCTCCTGCAATATTCAACGCCTTAACCTGCGTCACAACCTCTTTGACAGCGAGACCATTGAGATGTATGCAGAGGTGCTGCAAATCAACACCTCGCTCATTCAGCTTTTTCTCGGTTTTATGAACCCCACACCAGATGCCGCCGCGATTGTGCTCTCCGCGCTGCGTGCCAACCACACCCTGCTGCTTCTGGACATCTACGGATGGAAGCTGAGCCAGGAGGTTGCGTGGAAAATCATCGATAGTTTACAAAAAACGAACGGCACTGTTGCGGCTATTGTTACCGACGCGTGCCAGAGCATTACAAAGCGGATTGACGAGGGTAACGACGAAAGGGATGAGCGGGGGCAGCACCCGATATACGTTGGCCCCGATGACCGGGACGCGTACATGGCAACCAAAAGTCTTCGACGGTTTTCGCTGGCACAGTCGCGGCGTCAGTCACGCGCCTCCTCACGTGGAGCGATGTCATCACGCACAGGCAGCCCATCATACCGGCGCGCAAATGAGCGCTCTCAGTCCTGCAGGGAATCCGATGCCCACTCGCGGCGTTCTTCCAGGGTCCAGCAGGAGGTGCCTTACCAAGCTTCACACCAAGGTCTGAGCCATCCTGCAAAAGAGGAGCCCCAGCACTACCGCCGAACAATGATGAGTGAACCTCACGAGCGTGTGAAGAGTACGCCACCCGCCAATACTTCCACACAGTTGGACAATCAGTCGGAGGAGTCTATGAAGCAGCTAGTGGAGCAGTTGCGACGGGAGCTTGCTGAGCAAAGACAGATGCAGCGAGAGCTTGAATTTCGCGTTGCTGCGCTGGAAAAAAGGCGGGAATGTCTTTGTGGATGCACCACTGCCACTTCCGTAGATGATCCGGCACACGTGTCGCGCGTTGCCATTGGAGGCAACAATAAAGGGGAGACCCTCAAACATTTTAACGGTACCACCAACAGTCATGACTCAAATGCGCGTAGTAATTCCCGCGTGGATGGCTACATGCCTCACGAAGGTGCCCCGTCTTTCCGGTCCTCTACTCCTCCCGGTCCCCCGAATTCTGCGGAGTTAATTGAGCAATCCAAAGGTGCCTGGAACAAATCAGGCGCGGCGAGGACGAGGGGGGCCAGCGGCGGGTCGGCTGGGGCCCCAGAGCTTTCTGTCGCTCGCACGGAGCGCTCGGAACCACCAGCAGAGCCATTGGAGCTTCCGAAGGAGATGCGGCCAGCAGAAGTGGCGCTGCAGAAATCCACAAGGCCGTTTGATAACTACCAGCCACGATTGGCTCCTTCGCCATCCAAGGACAACGACCCACCGCGGCGGAAAGGCTCATACACACCGCATAGCCGCTGCCAAGGAAGGAACGGAAACAGCTAGAAAACTAAAACAAGCAGTAAGCGCAGGAGGCTGTGTATACACGTGACGCATATATTTATTTGCGTGGGTGAGGTGCGGCGTCCTGCAAGGGGCAGAGTATTGGGGATGACATTCATCAGGAAGAGGGATGCAGCTGGGGAAAGGCAAGACATCTAGAGAGGAGGTGGAAGGCGCAGCGTGAGCGGAGCAACTAGAGGGCCACTCATCGCTGCTCAGCTGCCGTCTTCCGCGTGAAGGCCGAGGCGGCGTAGGGTAAATGAGGTGTAATAAATTCAGCAAGGACATACACACGTATACACAAGGACAAAAGAGTTTTATCTAGTCATCTGCTTATATATCTACATTAAATAAAGACGAAGAAAAAAATAGGTTGGACGCGCTCGTGAATAGAGAATAGTCGTAAAATCTGCCGCGAAGCATCTCGTCAAACTTTGACGGCGGACGGAAACAAACGCGAAAGCTCGGGATGAGGAATGACCGAAAAGTAAATAAAATAATAATAAATATGGGGGGGAGGGGAAGATAAATGAGTACGCAGAGAAACTTTTCCACCCTCCTTGTTTGTTCTGTTTTCGCTCGTTCTTGCTCTCCTTTTGGGGACGACGACGCATTTGAGGTGCGGTGACATTTTGTTTTTGGTTTACTTCGGCGAGCCTTTTTTTTTTTTCTCGACGGAGGGGCGTTCTGAGTGCGGGCCCACCACAGTCAGGGAGTGACGCCACAACCACGTTTGGCGTTTCCATTGTGTTGTTGGATGTCCCCCTCCCCTTCCCTCCACCCTCTCCCTTCTGCTGTCGCACGTTGGTACTTTGTTGCGACTGCGGCCCGCGGGAGTGTCGCTCGTGCCGTGTGTATGGAGGCGGCGTTGCCGGGAGGGAGAAGAAGGGGTGTGCTTTTATAGAACTTCAACTTTCTCGTTTTTTATTTCTTTTTCTTTGTTGTTGATTGGCTTAGTCTACTGCAGTTCCTTCCTTCCGTTGGTTTTCTTCGCTCCCGACGCTGTCACCGTCTTTGCCTGCTATGTTTCCCACCCTCTCGTTCTACTCCTGTCTCTTTCCTCGCTTCGCACCATGCGTGATCTCCCTGCTAACCTCTCCCCCACACTCGTTTCTGTTGCCTTGACTGACCACTGGAAAGCAGAAGAACACAACACCCGGGACTGCCTGGGGTCAAGTAATTATATCTCTTGTTAGTTTTTACTGCTGTTCTGTGGGAGGCGCGCTTCGACTCCACGCTATGTCGCTGTTTCCGCTCTTACGAGAGCAGTTCTCGGGCAGGGAAAGGCCCCACATGCGTAGCGTGCTGCACTGGGCGCAGTGCCCGAGGATGACCGCAGAAGAGACGACACAGCTGCAGGAGATTAATGCGCTCTCCGGTGACCAGTTTGCTCTGTTAAGGCGGATTTTGTCGGCCTGGGAGCGGGGGGACCTTAATGCACTGCATCGGAGTTTGCAGGACTGCGCCGCCTACTTTGACCCCAACAAGCCGCATCTACTTGCGTACTTTGTAGGAATTGGTGGCATTGACTTGTTTGTCACCTTGCTTTGTGACGTGAACATGCCAGCGCGGCTGGGCAAGACATCATCGCGCCCGTTTGGCATTTATGATGCCAAAACGCATGCACCCTGGCAATTTGTTAGAGCCATTGCGACCTTGATGCGGGTGCTGACGGAGTTGCTCGTCTGCCACAATGAGCTGGGTTGGCACTACTATGATCGCTATCCTGGACTCTTCTTCAGGCTACTAGAGCTGGCAAAGGTGAAGGAGCTGCGGCTGACCGCCCTTGTCATGCTAGAGCACCTGGTGCTAAGCGTGGGTCCTGTGTTGGAGATCTCGAAGGTCCCGGCGCTGCAGGAACTGATCCACACCAACGATGCGGCAACATTGGCTATTTTGTGTCGTGTAATCGCGCTACTTATTGTTCCAGGGGTGGTGTTGAATCACCATCAATCCCCTCACCAGCGTCTTGTCTATCCTGAGTCGCTGCTGCCGCTGCGGCGCATCCAGCGGGTCATTGATAGCAACGTTCTCTGGTTGATCGGGGAGAAGGACCTTGTGAAGCGGCTGGTGATGCTGTGCGAGGTGCGTGGCTCCAGCGATCTTGACGCCACGATGCGGAACGAACGTTCGGTTTCCTTTCTGGAAGGGTCCTTCTTTGACCAGGTAGTGCGGGAATTGTCCACCACCGCCATTACTGCAGTCCCGTCGTTGACGGGCGGAATTCTGTCTGCAAACTTTTTTGGCGGCGTGGACTTTGCACAGTTGGGGCAGGCCGCCGCGCGGGGCTGGAACCGCGGCAGCAGCAACAACACCGACGCCGCCGAGCCTGTAGGCAGCTCTGAGCGAGGCGCTGAATGGGGACTCGCGGCAGGCGAGACCGTAACGGACGACTGGGGCGCATCGCCCCAGCTGATGTTGGGTGCCACGATGACCGCGTGGTCGGACGACGACACCTCCGCCGCCTCCATCGAGCCGGCCGGCTCAAACGTAGATTTCATCTGGTTCGTCGGCTGCGCTGACGCTAAGCAGCGGTGGCGGCTGCGTGACCTGACACTGCGGGAGGAGGTGGATGACAATCGCCCATTACTCTGTGGATTTGGGCCGGTGACGGACAGCAAGGCACACGAAGCCTTTTGGAAAGAGAACCGCGCCTTCTGGCAGTTCCTTGCCCCGGTCCTGCAAAACTCAAATACTTCCGAAAATCCGCAGATCATTGTGGGGGCACAGAGCGAGATTCTCTTTGTGCTAAACCTCATGCTGTCTACCTTCTTCTTTGGGGACGTCTGGTGCACGCTGCGGGATTGCCACTGGATCAGCGTCGCAAGCCGGTTTTACGACTCCGCCTTTGATGTACGTTCCCACCACCGCTCGTTGACGTCGCAGATGGAGCAGCTGCAGCGGCTGTCGGAGCTTCGCCGGTTCCCACGCTTCCTGCCGCCAGATGGTGACGACGCGGAGATGGCGCATACAGAAGCCGAACACATAGAAGAAGAAGAACGGGGGGAAGAGGATGAGGGGGAGGAAGTGCACGGCGGCGGGGCAAGTGAAACCCAGCAAAAAGGACATCCGCCACCGCCATCAGTACAGCAACAACTGGTACTGCAGCAGTGAGGACGGGAGCAGCAAACATGAACGGGAGCGGCGTCCTCCTGCGTTGCAGATGGGTGAGGATAGCGAGGCATTTATTCGCCCCTCCATACAACAGGGAAGTGTGGACGATGAGGAAGGGTTTGATGACAAGAACCATCAGCACGACCCCAGCACGATTCGCAAGTTGGAGCTCTTGCGCGGTGTGCACGAGTTTTGGAACGCACAGGACCGTCGTGAGTGTTCCATGCTCCACGAGGGCGACACCGCCGGCGAGTCTGCCCCGCTTGCACTCAAAATTGCCACGACTTTGGCGCAGCAAAGCGAAGACAGTTGCGTGGAGACGTCGGCTTGTCATGCCCTCGAGGGGTATTTGCGTGGTTTTTCCTTTCTGGTGTACAACAAGAATGCTGCGGATGCTCCACAGACAGTGTTGGGCAGTGTGCTGATGCGTTCTATTCTTGAGCACCGCGTGTACAATGCGACATATGTACCAGGCCTTAGTGGATCGCTTTCTCCCTCGAAGCGGATAGACGGCTTTTTCGCACTGCTTGGAGAACTTATTCGCTACCACCACGGCAACCTCACGCTGCTGCAGAGCTACGTGACGGGTGCAGTGAGTCTTCTTCATCTCAATAACCCCTACGCTTCATCTTCCTTGCGCGCTCATCTACCGCATGCGGCCTCAGAGCATGTAGAGCAGTTGCTGCGGCGGCCTCCATTGGATAGGGGGGAGCATGAACCATTTGCGAAGGTGCTACTTCGGCGCATGCATCGTCATGGGTGTGATACAAATCTGTTCTTGCGCAGCCTGCTGCTTTCATTGACCCCTGGTCTCCGTTCCAAGGTAAACTATGTCTGGAAACCTGTAACCTCGTCCACAGTTGACGTGAGGGCGTCCTTGGACGGCGTCGCCCGCATCGGAGACGTCGTGACGGGTCACCCAGATCGCCTAAATTACATTGGAAGGCATTCGAGACGTTTCGTTGAGATTCTCAGCGAGAGGCGGCAATCGGCAAAGAAAAACCCCTGCGAGACCGGTGTCGTAGCAGCAGGGTATGCTGCTTCTGCTTCTTCCTCCTCTGCACCCCCGTTTACCTCTTCTGCGGCTTCTACACTGTCATTGTGGGACATGCTGCAGATACTATTGCGTTCGCCGCATCGTCTTGCGCTGGAGGAGCGGCCGTTTCCGTGCTTCTTTGACGACAATGATCGGGCCCTTGTTATGGGTGATGTCGACCTGCCGCCCATTGGTCCCCCACCGCAATTTGTGGTGCCACTCTTCCCTGAGCAGGCAGCTGACGGTGAGGGCGATGAAAGCCTCAGCTCACTTGCGGAGCTTGAGCGGGCGCTACTCCAGGAGCCACACAAGCTGGTGTACAGCATGCTGGGCCCACTGAATGCGGAGGGAATTCAGAACGCCGGACGTCTCTGCGTTGTCACGACATGTGTGTTGGTCTTCGTTCGTGCCGCCCGCTTGGGTGGGGCGGCCGCTGTGCAAGAAATACTGGGGAAGCTAAGGACACTGGCGACGATAAGTTATGCGAAGTGGAAGGAGCAACGAAATGCCCCGAATCACTGCGCCAAGAGGTGGAGTCGTCGTGGGAAGCTCCTGCGAGGTTGCACGAGTCGGCTTCCTAGAGAGGGTTCTTGCTACTGTACGGCAAATGATGAATCGGCGCGCTGCTCAGCCTTTCGGGTGCATGGCCACTGCGCCCCTATGAGCGCCAGCGAGGCGTATTACCACCGCTACGGAGGTTGCTTCTTTCGTAACATGTTTCGCCTCCTGTGTGTGTGGATTGGACACTACGGTGCTTGCCAGCGGTACGTGGAGACGATTTACTACTGCACGGAGGTACCATTCGCGGAGACAAAGTCCGTTGTGTTGTACATCATGCGCCTGCTCCCGGACTACTTCTTGCAGTGAGAAGGGCAGGCCGCCTGCCGCCGCCGGTGATAATGGTGAGGGCTGCACGTGAAAGTTGTGTATGTGTGTGTGTGACGATCAACGCCTTGTCGGCTGCGAGTGACACAACTCAAACAACCCAGGACACACAACAAAAAAAAAAAGACGATGAAGGAAGCGAGAGATCGGGGCCAAAAAGAACAATGCCACCATCAGGGCAGCACCGAGGCGCCGCCTCTCCTTTATGCAACTGTGGTGCGAAGAACCGCAGCAAAACAGGGACTGGCAGGAAGCAGCGAAGAAGAAAAGAAGAACAAGAGAGAGAGAGAGAGAGGAGGGAGAGAAGAAAAAAAGGGAAAACATAAAAATACGGGTGACTTGAAGGGAGGTGCTGCGTGGTGGAGCAGAAAGGAAGGCCCGCCTTGCTGCTGGCTGCTAGGTGGGGGTGAGGGAGGTAACCGGGGCATGGGGGGCAAAGAGAGGGGGAGCACACAACAGCCGCAGCCACGGGAACGAACGCGGATAGTGACTCTCTTCCCACCTTGCGAGTATGGTTCAGTTTATCATGGGGCAACGTGTGATGACTGCAGTGGACGCCGTCACGAGAAGTTTGTTTTGTTCTCCTCCACGTGTATATACACATATATATATACGCATAGGAAAGTCGGTACCATTGCGTTTACTATTTTACTTCCACTCTCCTGCATGCAGGTGCATGCACGTACACGCGTTTCTCTACGTATATCTACATGCCTGCGTGCTTCACTGCGTGCATTGCGCGGAGGAGGGCGACCGAGACAATGCGACGGGTGCCACTGTCATCTCCGTTTTCTCCCTCCCTTGGCGGTTGCCCGCTCTGTGTTTACTTTGGCTTCCCACTTCACCCTTTTTTTTCCATGCCGCCGTGAGAGGCAACACCAGTCAAGTGAAAGTTGCAAGGTATACTGCCCATTCACCAGCCGTTGTACAGAGCTGCGACAGCTGCCACCACTACAGGGGGGACTGACACAAAGATTAATCCTCAACGACGATGACGCGCAAGGTAGCCATTGGCACGGATCACATCGCATTCCACCTCCGCGAGAAGCTGATGGAGTGCGTGAAGGAGGCTGGTGAGGAGTTCGTGCCGGTGTACTGCGGCACAGTAACGGCGGAGCGCGTCGACTACCCGGACTTTGCTTGCCGCGTGGCGGAGATGGTGACGAGGAAGGAGGTGGAGTTTGGTGTGCTGGCATGCGGCAGCGGGATCGGCATGTCCATCGCGGCCAACAAAGTCGCCGGGGTGCGGGCGGCCCTCTGCCACGACCACTACACCGCAGTGATGTCGCGTCTCCATAACGACGCGAACGTTGTGTGCGTGGGGGAGAGGACGACCGGCGTAGAGGTCATTAGGGAAATAATCATCACGTTTCTGCAGACGCCCTTCAGCGGCGAGGATCGCCACGCCCGACGCATTGGTAAGATAAGGGATATTGAGGCGGCCGATGTCAAGTGACGGCGCGGGCAGGGTAATAGCAGTATCATCTACGGGTGCGTGTGTGTAGGAGGCGCGAGGGATGTCCCTCGGCCACCGCGAAAAAAAACAAACAAGAACAAAACTGGAAATAAATAAATAATTTTTTTAAAAAAAACATGGGAAAAAAGAAAAACAAGCGGACGACGTTCGCAATGAAGCGAGCGGAGTGGAATATTGTAATCTACTGGGAAAACAGTCACGGGGAAGAGGCGTGTGTGTGTGGTGTGTGGAGAGTCGTCAACTGCAAGTGACGCGATGCGTGGTTGGGGCTACGGATGTGGGTGCACTTCAGCTGCGGCTGTGAGGACGCTGCTTTGTCTCTTCGTCTTTCAACGACATGAGTGTTCACTGTGGATAAAACCGAGAAAACAAATGAAGAAAAACACGGCCCAAGGTGTGTGGATAAGCATCAGCTATGAACACAACGAAGCGAATGCGAGTGCTCCTTTTTTTTCATCTCTCTCTTCTTATGCTCTTTTTTTTTTGCGGATTACAAAGCTGAAGGCGGCGCCCCCTCCCCCCCCACTACTCCTGACATCTTCCCACACCTGGGGTACCCAGATGCTTCGGCAGTGTGCTGGTTGCTACTGGCGGCGTGTGGCTCCCTTGTGGCGCTGCACGACCACAGAGCTGCTTCGGTCACTGTCACACTGTGTACCGCGCAGCAACGCTCGGGCAGCGACGACGTCTGCACGCACCACAGCCGCCGCGTTGGAGTCACCCATCCTACGCATGCGCAACATTGGGGTTGTGGCACACATCGATGCCGGCAAGACGACCACAACAGAACGCATGCTGTTTTATGCGGGTGTCTTAAAGTGTGTCGGGGAAGTGGACAGTGGCACGACCACAACTGACTTCATGAAGGAGGAGATGGAGCGCGGCATCACAATTCAGTCCGCCGCTGTCTCCTTCCAGTGGAGGAATCACAGCATTCACCTCATCGACACGCCTGGCCACGTGGACTTCACAGTGGAGGTGGAGCGTGCGATGCGGGTGGTAGACGGCGTCGTTGCCTTGTTTGATGCCTCTGCCGGTGTACAGGCGCAGAGTTACACGGTTTTGCGCCAAAGCAGAAAATTTGGCATTCCAGTGATTGGGTTTTTGAACAAAATGGATAAGTATAACGCAGACTTCAAGATGTCTGTGGAGACTATCCGGCGGAAGCTGGAGGTGGAGCCGCTTCTGCTGCAACTGCCGCTTCTTTGCGAGGACGGCAGTTTTGAGGGCGTCATCGACGTGGTTGAGATGCAGGCGTGTCGCTTTGGAGGCAACCACGGCGTGGATGTGATGAAGCAGGACTTGCGGTTGCCTGGCTTTGAACCGGCACACCTCCTCCAGGCGGCTGTGGTGGCGCGTCACGAGCTTATCTCAACGTTGACCACACTAGACGACCCACTCTCGGACGCCGTGATCGCCTTGCTAGATCAGACCGACGGGGACGAGCAGAAGGCCGAGGAGTTGCTTCCGTGTGTCCAGCTACGCGCGGCGATTCGGCGTCAGACGCTGCGTCAGGGGGTGCTAAGGCCGGTGATGCCACTGCTTTGTGGGGCATCTAGGCGCGACAAGGGGGTCCAGCCCTTGCTGGACGCTGTCGCGGACTACCTGCCCTCCCCGCTGGATCGACCTCTAGCTGGCTACGCCCGCGACGGGGAAGTTGTGCCCCTCCCACCCGTTAGTGCCGCTCCCTCTGCCCCCGTGGTGGCGTTGGCGTTTAAGGTGACACACGCCACGAGCCCCAAGGGGCGACGCCAGCCTTTGGTCTTTTTTCGCGTGTACAGCGGCAAGGTTACACCGAGGATGACGCTTGTGAACAATAACTGTAATCGACACGAGAAACTTGAAAAACTGTACGTGATGCACGCGAATCATCAGGTGGAGGTTCCACACCTTGTCGCAGGCGAGATTGGGGCGGCCTTTATGCAGTTCACTACGACTGGTACCACACTTTTTGCAGCTCCTCAGCAACCTCCGCTGGACGCCGATCACACGAGGAAGGAGGTATTCACACTGGAGGGTATCAGCCCACCGCCGGGTGTTATTTCCTTTGCGGTTGAGGCTGCTACAAAACAGCAAATTCCACTTCTTGATGCGGCTCTTAAAGAGCTGAGTTTTGAGGACCCCAGTCTACGGGTTCATAAGAACGAATTTGGGCAAGTGGTCTTGAGCGGCATGGGAGAACTGCATCTTGAAATCGTTATGTCACGCCTGGAGCATGACTACCATCTAAAGTGTCGACTACTGCGGGCCGTCGTGGAGTACCGCGAGGTGGTACGCGAGGAAGTAGAGCTTCTGCATGGGATTGGAACATACAATGAACTCCCATACGTTGACTGCTCGCTGCGACTCCAGCCGCTACTTGAGGCAGACGGCTCCTGCGATCCAAGCCAGACTTGTTCCTTTGTGCTGGACGAGACGTTCACGGATAATTACCTTGCCAGGGCGGCCGTCTCCAGCAACGATCGACGTCGCCGCGCGGAGGATCACCAGCGGAATGCGAAGGAGGAACTGCGGCTCCTCAGCGATGTGTTTTCCAGCGCAGTTACGGATTGCTCCCACATGGGTCCTCTTGCTGGTCTTCCTCTCCACGGCGTGCAGGTTGTTTTGACGGCGTTCAAAAAGTTCGGCAGCACACAGCTGGTGGAGGGCCCGCTGCAGCAGGCGGCGCGCTCGCTTGTGCTGCAGCTGCTTCGCTCTGCTTCCAAAGCTAAGCTCGCCGCGATGGAGCCGATGATGGAGGTGGAGGTGCACCTCTCTGAGGCAGCCTACATTGGCGGGGTTGTGGGCTCCCTGAACGAACGTAAGGCCGTCACGGTGGACGTCCAAGACGGTGGGCGGTCGGTGAAGGCAATCGTTCCGATGCGAAACATTGTGCGCTACACGATGGAGCTTCGGAAGGCCGTGAAGGGGCACGCCAGCCTGTACACACGTC